ATAGGCTGGCCTAGAACTCAACATATAAATCAGGTTGGCCCGAAGAGGTCCAGAGTCTCCACTGCTGGTGTTAAAGGCATGCGCCATATGCCCAGCAATATTCTTTTGTACAGAGATTTCAAATGAGAATGTTAAATTAACAGTCATGCTTGAGGCTTAAGCACAGGTGACCTTTGAGGCACCCAACTCTTGCCAGCTGTAAACAGTAATTTGCTGAGATTAGGAACCTTGTTTACAGTCAAAACAAATGCCTTAAGTTTCTTGATCTTCTTATAAGGAGTCTTTTGACCTATTTTTTAACCACCCTATAATCTTGTCCAATGTATCTAAGAAACTATCTTATGATCTCATTCCCATTAAGGGAAAACAAAAACAAAGAAACAAAAAGCATTTTGTACAAACACTATGAATAGAGCCAGTAAGATGACACAGCAGGTAAAGGCATTTGCTACCAAGCCCTGTGACAGGCATAAGTTTGATCCCCGAGAACCACATGGTCAGAGAGAACCAGCTCCCACAAGTTGTTGTTCTCTGATCTTCCCAAGTGTACCCTGCAACATGCACACCCCGACAAAAGAATGCAGCTACAAAAGAAACCCTGCGAACGACTTCAGAAACCACCGCCATCTTCCCATGTGACTAGTGTTAAGATGGTTACATGTGTCCCTGTCCCTACGTCTTGAGTATGCACCGTCTCTCTCATGAGCATCTTTCTTCTCTAACACACATGCTTAAATCTACCTCATTTAATCTTTAAAATGAATTGTTTTTAAGTGTATGTGTATATGCACATGACTGTGTGTATATGCATGTGACTTTGAATATATGTATGTGACTGCGTGTATCTGCAGAAGACAGACCAGAGTGCTGGATTCCTTGGGGCCAGAGCTACAGGCAGTTGTGAGCCACCTGGTATGGATGCTGGGACCTGAACTCTCTTCCTCTGCAAGAGCAATCAGTAAGCACTCTTAACTGCTGAGCCATCTCTCCAGTCCTTTGAATCTATCTTAAAGTCTTTTCTTATTACACTTCAACTTTGCTTCATATTGAATCCTGAACTTCTTTCTTTGTGGCAGAAAGTTAAAAAAAAAAAAAAGTCCTGGCTTTACCTGAGTGGAGGTTTCTCCAAAGAAGGCCCCTGGGGCTGCTGCCCTCCACTGTAGCCTCAGAGCTCTGTGATGAGATCAGCTGCATTTTGTAAGGCTACCATTCTTGGTTGTTGATACCATAGGAGAGAAAGGCCCCAGAACATGATGGGCCTGGAACCAGTCTAGAGGCAGACATCCAGGCCAGCTGTGTCGGGCAGACATGGGGAGCAGGCAGGGGTATTGCCATTAGGCTGGCTTCACCCTGGCAGGACTGACCTCCCTCAGGAACCCAAGCACGGCCAAGGAGGGACACTCACTGAGATTGTACCAAGCAGGGTCAAGTTCTAACAGTGACACCATGTGGCAATCAGGAAGCAAGGCAGTTGGACAAGCTCCACTCTAAGCGAGGAGCCTACCCCTGGCAGACATGAAAGCCCTCTCTACTACAATTCAAAGAGAAAGATGATTCTTAAGGCAAAACAGGGACTTTCCACCACTGATGCAGATCAGGTAATGCTCCAAGGCTGGGTCCTTGTTTGTGGTGTGGAGATAAGGCCTGGACAGAGATACTCTTTGGTAAGATTAATTTGTACCTTTTCGCTGTACATTCATTCTCTCTCCATGTTCTAGACTACTCCCACCCCAAAGCAAAGGGTATTCAAATCCCCTCTACACTAATCCAGCATATTCTCCCAAATCGTTTTAACCATCTTAATTCCTTTTTAAATCTATCTGGTTCTTTTTGGAAACAATGTCTAGCTGAAGAGTCCACGTTTACCCAGAATACTCTGCTGTAGCCCCCACTGGCCTCTAACTCATAGCAATCCTTCTGCCTTAGTTCCAAGTGCAGGGCTCATAGGCTTCCACTCCACTGTGCCTGGCTAGACTACTTACATCTAACAGAATGAAAATAGGTGCCATACTGTATTGTTTAGGAATAATTTTTAAGTCTGTATATGTTCATTACAAATGCATTTTCCTCTTTCCACAGCTGGTTGAATTCACAGATGCAAAGCCCCAAAGGATAAGGATAAAGAGGGCAACTGTTTTCTCCCCACCCCTCAGCTGCTGCAGGCCTTTCTGAACTTCCCGTCTCTGGAGTTTTGCAAGCAGAAAACACAGTCTTGAAGTTCATGGCTATTCCTAGCTTCTGTAAAAACCTGTGTTTTTTCAGAGTAGATGCTGATTGTCCCATTGGGCCACCAGAGAAGGCAAGTGATTTTGAAGATCAGAGAGCAAAGAAAAGTCCTGGATGGGATGGGGGATGGTGTGTGTGTGTCTGTGTATGGTAAGGATTTCTCTCCTGGCTTCCTGACCATCTTCTCAGGCTCAGAACTGGATGAGTTCTGAGGAAACAGCCCCAAGGGAATGGTCATTTGGTAAAGATTACAGGGAGCATAGCCATGTGGTCAGTGGATAGTGTGTCCGGACCAATGGGTCTCCTAGTGGAGGTATGGGGGAGAGGAGGTCAGATGACAGCCTCAGTACACCAGGCTTTAGAGAAGAGGCATCAGGCGAGGTGTGGTGGTGCATACCTTTAACGGAACGGTGGCAGGAGGCAGAGGCAGGTGGATCTCTGTGAGGTTGAGGCTAGCCTGGTCTAGGACAACCAGATCTATGGAGAGAGAGGCCTTATCTCAAATTTAAAAGAAAGAAAGAAAGAAAGAAAGAAAGAAAGAAAGAAAGAAAGAAAGAAAGAAAGAAAGAAAGAAGGAGTGACCCACGGACAGAAGCTATGGGAATTCCAGCCAGCCTGGCAGAGTTAAGGATTCAGAGCAGAGCTGAATTAGTTCCAAAAAAGCAAAATTTTATTTTGTATCCATAGCTCATCTGGCATGGTGTCTGGCACCCATATGCAAGTGAGTATGAAATGCTATTGTTATCTTTACGAGTGAAGCCAAGGCTGCTGTGACTCACACAGGAGCCTTATCCGTCTTGCTTCCTACAAACATCCTGACTGCATGATGGATACGGTTGGTGAGCACCTGGAGAGCAGGGGCTGGGTGGCTTTGGAGTGAGTTTCTTTACTGAGGACTGCCCTGTCTTCAGTTACGAACAGGATGTTGCTTGTTCCTAGGCACCAACTCTTTCTTGTTTAGCCCACAGGCCTACGAGAAAGAGTTCTTCAAGAGAAGAATAGTAATGGGCCAATGCTGAGGAACAAGCAACAACAGACCTTTGAGCTGCTGTTACTCATCAATCCACCCGTGACACAAACTGGAGACAAGTCCCCTAGTCTCCCAAGAGATCCCAGGATTCCCTGAGGATGAGGCAAGAAGAAATGGACCTTGGGTCTCAGCCAGCAGCGAGTTCCCTCGTGTGGGGTTCCATAAAAAACAATTCTATTAATCTCCTGCCATTGGAGACAACCTGGAAGTCTGGCTAGATGTGAATACTAAAAGCTTCATCCTGTTACTTGGATAAAAGGTTTGGGAGCATGGACCAGCTCATAGGGATCTGGGGAAACAAGGAGGCTCCCACTCTGAGATCCTAGGAGTACATGCCTTTAACCCCAGCTTTCTGGAAGCAGGCAGGTGAAATTTTTTTTTTTTTTTTAGTGCAAGGCTAGCCTGGTCTACAATATAGAGTCCTAGGCCAGCCAAGGCTACATAGTGAGACCCTGTCTCAGAAACAAACACTCCTGTGACCCAGCTGTGGCCCACCTGACTATTTCCCTAAAGAAACTTAATGTCCATGTCAAGATGCAAGAAGTTTCTCTGGAGCCAGGAATGGTGGAACATGGCTTTAGTCCCACCACTTGGAGAGCCTGAGGCAGGCAGATCTCTGTGAGTTCAAGGCCAGCCTGGTCTACAGAAGTGAGTCTTGGACAAAAAGGCTACACAGAAAAACCCTCCCTCAAAAATAAATAAATAAATAAATAAATAAATAAATAAATAAATAAATAAATCCATCCATCCTTTGGATACCACTACCCAAGCTACACAGAAAACACTCTTGCCACATGGCAATTCCTGCCACTAGGGGCTGCTCTTACATATCCAAAGCAAAACAGTGTCACTTATTAAATGCAGGCTTGAAAATGCTATGACAAAACATGCTGTGGCCCAGTTTCACTGCCTGTAACAGGGGCTGACCACTCAACTTTGGAGTTCTGGCCCAAGGAGCTTCTGTTTGTTCCTTCAAGGACTGTAATTACAGACTCCTGGGAGCTGCTCAAGAGGGTAAAGCTAACTAGATCTAAGGCCTGTTCATGGCTTGAACCCACAAGCGGACCCTGATTGGCTCCTCCATGCTTGGCCTGTGTCCCTGATGGGGACTGTATTCACATCTCACAGCTCTCAGCCTGTGAACACCTCTAGAATCGTGGTTCCTGACCACTGGATAGAGCAAGGTTTAGTAGTGAGCTGTGAAAACCAGGCCTGGTCATGGGTTATGATGAGGGGCCACTGTCAAGGGGGCTATACCTGAACTGGCCACATGCCTCAGCCACACTGTGACTGTGTCGGCTTCTGGAATCCATCTGCCTGCCTCCCTGGGTGGCTTGAGGAAGGGCCTCCTGGATCTTCTGTTCTGTGGCGTAGTGCCACACCCCTAGCGCCTCCACCCTGGAATACAGACTGCACATGACCACATATTAAGCCCCTTAGAGGCCTCACTTGTTCTCATTTTTAGTTCTGATCATGAAGCTAAACTACTTGGAACGCTGCTAGAATCAAAATGTATAGTTACTAATTTCATCCTTGGGCAGAAAAACAATGAATTTTCCAATCCTTGCAGGCTTCAGCCAATCACAGAGAGTTCCATGAATCACTGATCTGAAAGCTCACCCCTTAAGGACTTCTCACATGTCTGAATTTCCCAAGCCAATGCATTAAAGCAAGTGCTGGAACAAGCATGGGGTGGGCCATGCTGCAGGCTCTATCCACCCATGCTCCTGAGCTGGCTTCCTACCTGCCACCACCGGTTCCAGGCGGGTCCCCTTGCTGCTTCTGTAGAGACTGGTTGTTCCCAGGGGGCTGCGGTGGTCGTGGACTCTGCACTGATGAAGTCCTCTGAACCAGAAAAAAAAAATATTGGAAAGAAAGTCAGAAATGTATAAAACCACAGTAATATTCTTTTGATAGGCCACTGACCAAAGACCTGTACGATTCAGCCTGTGGTCCACAGGAGCTCTCCTGTGAGGAGGGAAGTGAGTGAAGCTTACAGTTCTCTTCAAACCCACAGCTCCAGTCAAGCAGGATGGCCATTTCATTGTGAAACTAAGAGTGGGGGGCTAAGAGAGATGGCTCAGTGGTTAAGAGCACTGGCTGCTCTTCTGGTAGATTCCAGTTCAATTCCCAGCACCCACATGGCAGCTTATAACCGTCTGTAACTTCAGTGTCCTCTTCCTTTCATGGGCACTAGGCATGCACATGCACACATGTAGACGTGTGTGTGTGAGAGAAAAGGAAGGAAGGAAGGAAGAAGGAAGGAAGGAAGGAGGGAGGGAGGGAGGGAGGAGGGAGGGAGGGAAAGGGAGGGAGAAAGGAAGGAGGGAGGAAGGAAGGAAGGAAGGAAAGGAAAGGAAAGGAAAGGAAAGGAAAGGAAAGGAAAGGAAAGGAAAGGAAAGGAAAGGAAAGGAAAGGAAAGGAAAGGAAAGGGAAAAGGAAAAGGAAAAAAGGGAAAAGGGGAAAGGAAAAGGAAAAAAGAAAAAGGAAAAAAAGGAAAAAGAGGGGAAAAAGGAAAAAAAAAGGAAAAAAGAAGGAAAAAGGAAAATAAAAGGAAAAAGGAAAAAGAAAAGAAAAAAGAAAAGAAAGGAAAAGAAAGACACCAAAACCATTAATCTTAAAAACAAAGCAAACAAAAACAGTGCTAGGGCTTGAGCCCAGGACCATGTATAGGCTCTGCCTCCAGAGCCACATCCATGTTCCCAGCCACCCTGGGTTTTCAAAACCAAATTTGGTTTGGTTGCAAAAGTTATCAGGCTCAGAACTTTAAGTCACAGGATAGGACAATGAGATTTTATCTTTTCAAACACTCAGTTTCAGTGATTCTTGCACAGTTCAGAAAGCAGGAAAGGGGAACAGGCTCCTGTAAACCCCAAGCCCTATGTCCAAAGGCACTCTCTGCATCTCAGGAATGGCCTTGCAACCCACCACCCCACTAAACAACACACCCTTTGGGAATGGTCTGCCTTTGTTTAAATGTCCCATCTATGTCCTCTGTCCCTCAGGGTTTCTTAGAAAATGTCAAGCACAATGCTCCTTCCTACCCACTGGAATGGGAACAGACAGGTGAAACCAGGTCACACCTGGACACCTTAAAGAACAGAGATGGTTGTGGGTGGGTTTCAGAGCCTTTTGATCTTAGTCACAGCAGAGAAGGCACCCTGCAAGCAAGGGAACGACTACCATGTAGCACAAAGCGAGGGCAGCATCAAGGAGATGATCTGAGCTGCCTGGGTCTCATTTTTGGGATTCCTGGATCCATTCTTGCTGGCCCATCCACCTAGAGGTATAAGAGAAGAGCTCTAAACACAATATTGACCTTTCTGGTACAAGCTGGACATTTGCAACTAAAAGATTTCTGTGCATCTATTACTCACTCAACTTGGATGAAGCAAAGCTCTCCGCAGTCCAGTGAGTCTGAGGTGCTATGATTTATAGCTCTTTCAGAAATCTGCAGTCTGTGTTACCATCTTAAAGGTTCTGAGGGGTCCCACGTAAAACAACTTATTGAATTTTCCTTTTTTTTTTTTTTTTTTTTTTTAGGCAGAATCTTGTTATGGAACTTGGGTAGGCCTGAGATTTATGGTCTTCTTGTCTCTGTTTCCCCAGTGCTAGGATTACATGCATGTACCTTCATGGCCAGATTAACATATTGAATTTTAACTCAGAGCACCCGGGAATTTCTTGACCACCCTGTGTTTGTGAGCCACGTGGTAATGTCTCTCTCACAGAGCTGCTGTTGTAGGCACACACTTTGGAAGGTTGTTGGCGTGTAGCCTTTTTTCTTCTGCTTCTGCTTGTTTGGTCAGAATAAGAACGCCTTTGGTGCCTTTGCCTTTGTGCCTGGGAAGATGGCATTCCTAAGGGTCAAAGGTATGGTTTGGGATCTCGGTGTGCCTCTTTGGCATGATCACATCATCATGAGGAAGTGGTGGAAATGGACACCAGAATCTGTACAAGAAGAAACCCTGCAGTCCACGATTCTGACTGCTGACCATCTTTCTCATCTCAATGGCACTCTCTCCTCACATGGCCCAGAGAGAGACCTCCTCCGTCCCTGCACTTCTCTGGGGCAACTGGAGACACAGAAATTCTCTCATGGGCCACCTAATGCACCAGCTCAAACCATGGGCCTGATGGTAACAGAGCACTCGATGGGTATCTCCTCTCACTGACAGTTTGGGAGAAAATTATTTTCACTGGCTGTTGATTCATTCATCGCCCAGGAAACATTTGCCTAAAGCCTGTCACGGACTGGCAAACATCCATTTTGCTTCTGAGCTGCTCACGGGCTAGGATGACATACACGAGGACCATGGTTAGAGGGCATAAAGATAAGGAACACCTAAGAATGGTCCCCACTGTGGAAATGATGCCCAGCCTCTAGGCCTTTCAAAGGAACACTCCTGTGTGCACATGGTCCTGCGCACTTCCTCTCACCAGCCCCCAACAACCTCAAGCTCCAGGCAGGGGATTTTGAAAGTTAATTTTGGAGTTTCTGAAGGAGCATGAAGCTTCTACCCTTTATGAACCTGGGGCTCTTCTTGAGATCTTCAGTCTCCTGTTGCATGGTGATCGCCTTTCCCTGGCTTTGCCTGCTTCCCCAGTGGTTATCTGGGTTTATTGGGTTAAGTCCACAGATAAACCATAAGGGATACCTCAGTCGCCAAGAGCCTGAATGCTCTGGTGTGAACACGAACGCGACAATGAGAAAGCTCCCTTCACTTTAGCTGAAAGACAGTAGGATGAGGAGGAAACCCGGTAAGCCTAGTACTCAAGAGGCTGTGACAGGAGGATGGTGAGCATGAAGCTACAAGGGGAAGTCCTTTTCCAAAAGCAAACAACTGAGTGAGAGGAGCAGCAATAGCTCCAGTTCATCAGGTACTCACACAGAGGCACCGGGCTGGCATCTTCTCACAAACTCTCAGCAAAGCATCGCCACTTAAAGGAAGATGCTGTCTCCATCCTTGCTTTAGGGCCAGGGCTGCCTGAGGCTCGATAGTTAGGACCACAGAGCAGGAGCCCGAGTACACCTGCTACTCTCTGATCCCAGAGTTGGGACAGGACGTTTCTTTCCCTGGCCACCTCAACAAGGAAGTGTAGAAGGAGGCAGAGAAAGCTGCGACCCACTTCAGGGGAAGCCACTGCTGCATGCTGGGAGTCCCCTACCTGCACGGCTTAGCCTCCCACCTGAACATCTAAGGAACACCCATCCCTAGGGCAGGGGCAAGACAGCATACCCTATTCAAACTCTATTCTTCTGAGAAAGGCCCCTCATCCACATGATGCCTCTACCCTTGCATGTGTGGTGGTCTATAACACAAGAATCACAGTACGAAACAGTGACACTTTTATAATAGGGTCGTGATTTTTTTAAGATTTATTTTCATTACCTTTAATTGTGTGTGTGTGCAGTCTGTATGTATCCATGTGCACATGTGTATGGGTATATCTGATCTCCACTGAGGTGTCTGATCTCCCTGTAGCGGGGTTACAGGCAGTTGTGAGCTGCCCAGTGTGGTTGCCGGGGACTAAACTCAGGCCCTCTGGAAGAGCACTCTTAACTGCAGAGCCATTTATCCAGGCCCAGGGTCTTGACTTCTTGAAATCACTACCCAGCTCTTGCTTGTCTGGGCAAGTGTTGTCCTTTGACCCCTGCAGTCAGCTCCTGTCATTACTACAGCACCAGTGCCAAATACTCTACAAACAATTGGCTTATAAACCCCTTACCCCATGTTCCTTGATCAAGGTTCAAGTAACACTGGAAATATCAATTCATCTAGCACCTCAAGCAGACACACTGACAGGAGGAAAAGGAGGCAGATCACTGTTCCAGCTAAAGGCAAAGTGAACAAAACAAGCTGAGAGCCATCTCTGGAGGAATCAAAGGGCCGGGCCTTTCCTCTTTCGTCAGCTCCTCGGCTCTTCTGCTAGCACAGCACTGTTCTCATAGCAGAAACCGGTCTGGTCAGTATTCAAAGAAAAGGAACAGGACAGGAATATAGCTCAGTGACAGCATAGGCTGGCATGGGTTTAACCATCCCCTCCCCCTATAAAAAAAACAGTAATTGTAGTCATTGTCTTCACTGTCATCATCATCAAATAAAAGCAACAGAGCAATCCACATAAATGGCATATTATGCTTTTCAAATCACCCCCGTGACTCTTGCTAAACAGACAGTAGAAAATGTTTGGCCTTTTCTAGATAAGAAATAGGGGTTTGGGGGCTTGTCTGGCTCTTCTGACTGGAAGTCTGATGCTCTTTCCACAATAACAGTAACATCTGCCACAGAGCATCCTGCTATGGCAGAAAATAGCAAACACATTATTAAACACATCCTCTTAACTGTTTTACATATTTAAACTCATTTAATCCTGGTAGATAAACAGAGAGGTTAAGCCACTTACTGAAGATCATAAAGATCACCATGGAAGTGGTAGATTTGGACCTGGATGGTCTGTGCTCTTTTTTTTTTTTTATATTAGAGACAGGGCCTCTCTCTTGTAGCCTGGGTGACTGAAACTCAGAGACCCATCTTCCTCCACCTCCTGAGTGCTGGGATTAAAGGCATATACCACCACGTTCAACTCTCTGGGCACTCTACCACACAGTGGGTACAGTGATCTCTGCCATGTTGCCATGCTCCATCAAGCTCCTGAGCAACTGATGCGGCCCAGGAGCCTAGATCTGATGCCTAGAATAGCACCGGGCATAGAAGAGGCAATCTAGACGTTGGTTGACTGTATTAAACACAGCTTACACCCATTCATTCTGGCAGCCACTTCCGTAAAAGCTCTTGCCTTCGTTTCATTTCGTACAGGGGGGATCCCTGCTGTGTCAACTG